GCCCTGGTCTACAGGCCCCCCAGACACTGCCTCACACTTGCTGTTCCTGCTTCTTCAGCAAGTAGAAAAAAAAGGCAGCGGGACACACCTGGAATCCCAGCTATTCAGGAGGCTGAGGCAGGAGGATCACAAGCCTGAAGCCAACTGGGCAATTTAGTAAGACCTTGTCTCAGAGTAAAATGAAAGGTGAGGGGTGTGGCTCAGTGGTAGAGCAGGTGCCTGGCAGGCAAGGCCCTGGGTTCTGCCCAGATCACTGTGAAACATGAAAGGGTCAGAGTCCTGAAGGGCCGGATTCAGCCAGCAGTGTTTGTGCTGGGTGGTCAGACCCATGCCACCCTCAGGACGTCCTCTGGGATGTGGTTCCTGTTACCGCTGTGCTTGCTTACGGTGGTGGTGAATACACACTGCACAGTTTACCGTTTTCGCCACTTGACAGCGCATGTTTCAGTGGCCTTTAGTACATGCACGAGGTGGCTGGGTTGCCGCAGGAGATGCCACAGCCGGGTGGCTTAGGCGACAGAAAGCCCCCCCCCCCAGGCTGGGAGCCGCAGGAAGAGAGGCGGGTTGTCTGGGGCACCCCACCCTAGGCCCCATCCGACGGCCCCACCTCCAGATGCAGCCCCGGGAGGGCCGGCCTTCATCACACACATTTAGGGGCGGGAGAGGAGTGGAGTTCTGGCCCCAGCAACCGCGGGCTGGTTCCAGAAACTTCTGTCACCCCAAACAAACTGCGCCCATTCAGCGGTCCCCCCGCCCCAGCCTGGGCAGCCTCTCCTCTGCTCCCTGTCTCCCTAGCGGTGCCTGGACTGGACGTTCTAAAGCTCGTATGGGCCTGGTGGTGCACGCCTGAAATCCCAGCTCTCTGGGAAGCTGAGGCAGGAAGAATCCAAATCGGGGCCCCGCCAGGGCAGCTTGGCTGCTTAGTGAGACCCTGTCTTAAAAATAAATTAAAATGAATAAATAACTAATTTGAAACGGGCTGGGGATGTACCTCACTGCAAAGGCCCTGGATTCAATCCCCACTACTGTAATAAACAAATACAAAGAAAGAAAGAAAGAAAGAAAGAAAGAAAGAAAGAAAGAAAGAAAGAAAGACAGACAGACAGACAGACAGACTCCTTTCTCCTCCTCCGGCCACAGTCAGGGAGAGCCAGATCCTGGGCGCCCAGGGGAGGGCAGGCGGCTGTCCGAGGTCCCCGCACTCAGCGCCGCAGGGCGCCCCAGGGCCCGGCCGGCTCCCGCGCTGAGCGGCGATGCTGCCACCTGCCGGGAGAGGGCTGAGCGGCCCAGGCCGGCACCGCGCGCGCACCGGATCCCGCGGGGAGCCGCGCTGGAATCCGAGGGCGACGCCAGCGCTGAGCTTTGGGCCAGGAAGGCGCTGTGACAGCCCGGGGCTGACGAGGCCGCCCCGCCGCACACAGGCCGAGCCGGGCGTGCAGGGCTCCGGGCGCATCGGGGCGTGACGCGGGAGGGAATGACCCAGCCAGGCCGGGCGCCAGCTCGCGGGGCTGCCGGGCCTGGGGGCCGCGCTGGCTCAGCGGCTGCCCTCTGAAGAAGCCTGGAGTCACACTGCTCTGCAGCAGATCAAAGTCATCTTTCCTTTTTCCTTATGGCATTTTCTCTGTTGTCCAAACATGGGAACTTGAGTCATTTAAGAACAAAGACGCCCAGGGGTAGGGAGGGAAGAGCTCGCTGCTGTCGGTCCGCCGGGCCCTGTGGGCGGTGGAGGAGGGGTGGAGCCTGTAGGAGGCGGGGCAGCGAGAGGAAGGGAGGGCGCTGGGGCGTGGCCTTAAGACCCCCCCCCCCCCCCCTCCTTTACGGCCCCCAGTAGCTGAGCAGCCTCCTTCTCCACGGTTTATCTAAAGTGTCCAGAGCAACCCTGCCTAGAGCAGGGGGCTAAGCAACCATGGACTGCACCTCTGGAACCGGGAGCCAAGATGACCCTTCCTTCTCCTGCACTGCTTGTGGAAGGAAGTTTGTCGCAATGACGGAAAACTAGCTGATACACGTGGCCCCTGACCAGTTCCCAGCTGACAGGAAGTGGGCCCTGCTGTGGCGACCTCCAGCGCCCGCCCCAGTGTGGACGCAGCCGGGCTGGGGCGGGCTGGGGCAGCGGGGCTGTGTGCTCCAGGGCAAGGCTGCTCTAGGAGGGTCCTTTCTTCCTGTCTCTACACACACAGCGCGGGTCCCAGAAGCGCACTGAACACAAGAGACATAGGTAAGAAACAGCTGGAGGAGAGGAACCAGCCCCTCGCCCTGGGGCAGGGATGAGTCCCTCTGGGCTCTGAGATTCAGAGGCAGCTTTCCTTCACCCAGGGCTCCCGTGCATGACAGTCCCAACCTTGTATCATTTTAAAATTTTGAGGCAAGATCTCACTAAATTGCCCAGATTGGCCTCAAACTTGTGATTCTCCTGCCTCAGCCTCCTCAGCAACCAGGACTACAAGTGTGCAACTTCACACCCAATTTAAAACTTTTCTCCTCCTTTCCTTTTCTTGTTTTTTTTGATAGTAGTGGGGATTGAACCCAGGGCCTTTGTACCGAACTATATATACACCCACCTGCCCTTTAGTTTGAAAGAGTGTCTCCCTGAGTCATTAAGTTGCCCAGGCTGGGCTTAGCCTTGCAGTCTTCCTACCTCAGCCCTTGAGTACTGACACTGAGACAGGTGCCACCACACCCGGCTAGCTCAGAGGTGGAGCGCTTTCCTGGCATGTGTGAGGCCCTGGGGTCAATCCCCAGCACCACCAAACTGAAACAAGCCGAATTCTATGAGGATTTATCCCAGGTCCCTTGTGGCAGTGAGGGCAAACTGACCTGCTCGGGTTGCAGGTTTCACGTGTGTTGTACTTCACCACAGCAAGTTGTCCTTTTTTGCTCCCGTGCTGGGGATGGGCCTGGGACCTTGAGCATGCTAGGCAGGTGTGCTAGGGCTGAGCTACACCCTGCCCCTGCAAGTTATTCCACCCAGCAGGGCAGAGGAGGCTTCTTCCATTCCGCTGGGTCTGGGCCTAGCTCTGGTTTTCACTCAGCACCTTGGGACCTGGGATCTAACTCTGCCCCTTCCAGCTGGAAGTTCCTTGACCTCTCATGGAGTGGCTCTCCCCCAAGGGAACCTCACAGGCTGTGATGAGCTTTAAACACATGATTTGTGCAGAGTATTTACTGTGTACCTGGTCCCTGATGGGCAGGACCTACCTCTGCTACTGTTATTACCAGGCACAGCTCCTTGCCTGCCAGGGGATCCACACGATGAAGGACTTCACCCAGGTCACCCCTCCATGCGCTGTCCTGCACTGCCAGCCTCCGAATCTCCCGGGAAAGTTGCTACATGCAGCTTCCTGGCCCTCATCCCTGCCTGCTGAATCAACGCTTGCAAACACCGGCATGGTTTCCCAGGCGTGCAGCTGGCTCACCGGAAGCTGGGACCCATGGAAGGAATTTCTAAGGTGACTTCCAGGGCAGGAAGATGCTGGGGGTTTTTCTGATGATCTGCAGTCCCTGGGCCTCTCTCTCCCAATTTCGTCATGGAAGAAGTGCTTGACCCTTGCAGGCTCAGTAGGAACCTGGTCACAGACTAGTCACAGGGAATCAGAGAGCAGGGGGTCAAAATTCCACTCAGGACACCAAAGACCAGAGAGGGAAGGGCAGCTGTCACTCCATTAGCTAGGGACGGAGCGCTCGTGCGCGCTCTCTCTCTCTCTCCCCCCTCTCTCCCCC